GAGGACACAGTGGAAACAGTGTCAGACTTAATTTTGGGGCGCTCCAAAATCACTGCAGATGGAGATTGCAGCCATGAAATTAAAAGACACTTACTTCCTTGGAAGGAAAGTTATGACCAACCTAGATAGCATATTAAAAAGCAGAGACATTACTTTGCCAACAAAGGTCCGTCTGATCAAGGCTATGGTTTTTCCAGTGGTCATGTATGGATGTGAGAGTTGGACTCTAAAGAAAGCTGAGTGCCGAAAAATTGATGCTTTTGAACTGTGGTGTTGGAGCTGCAAGACTCTTGAGAGTCCCTTGGACTGCAAGGAGATCCAACCAGTCCATCCTGAAGGAGATCAGTCCTGGGTGTTCATTGGAAGGGCTAGTGCTGAAGCTGAAACTCCAATACTTTGGCCACCTCACGCGAAGAGTTGACTCATTGGAAAAGACCCTGATGCTGGGAGGGATTGGGGGCAGGAGGAGAAGGGGACAGCAGAGGATGAGATGGCTGGATGGCATCACCGACTCAATGGACATGAGTTTGAGTAAACTCCGGGAGTTGGTGATGGACAGGGAGGCCTGGCGTGCTGCGATTCATGGGGTCGCAAAGAGTCGGACACGACTGAGTGACTGAACTGAACTGATACAGGGGCTATAAAATTATTGAAGACATTTGTCTAAATCAGACTTTTGCTCAAACATTGTGAGTCATCCATTGATGTACAGCAAATTACCCTGAAATCTGGCAGCATAAAACAAGAACAGTTATTATCGGCAGCTCCTGCGGGTCAGGAATCCGGGCATAGCCCAGCTCGATGCTGAGGCTCAGGACCCCCCCAGGCCGCAGCCAAGGAGCGGCAGGGCTGCAGTGATCTCAGGGCCAGGTGAAGGAGACGGTGCTCCTAGGCTCACTCGCGTGCTTGCTGGCAAGGTTTACTTCCCCAAGGGTTGTTGGACTAAGGGTCTCAGTTTCTCTTTTTGGTTTTGTTTTTTGCATTTTCATAGGGCTTTTATTGCAGTAAAAATATATCATTTTCCACCACACTTAGGGTCCAAATAACAGGGGCTCAGTTTCTTGCTGGCTGTTGACTGGAGGCCTTCCTCACTTCCCTGCCTCCTGGGAGTCTCCACAGCACAGCTCACAACTGGGTAGCTGGTTTCTCCCAGAGGACTCCAAAAGGGCAAGCAAGAAAGGCTGAGTAGGATTAATGTCAGTCTTTTTGCAGCTGACTCTCAAAAGTGACATTTCATTATGTTTGCCATATTCTATTTGTTAGAAGCAAGTCATAGGTTCAGCCCGTACCCAATGGGAAATAATTACACGAGGGCATAAGACAGAAGGCAGGAACCACTGAAGACCATTTTAGAGTCTGCCGATCCCAACATGATGAATTAAATTTGTCTTTTTTTGTTTTTGTTATGTATCTCCTCCACTTTCTCTGCTATCTCCTACTCCTTCACTCTGAATAGATGCATTTACTGCAAAGTGTTATTTTTATACTTCAGAAAAGCCAGAGGATTCCAATAAGCCCAGAGAAAACTAATAAAAAATATTCTATATTCTGAATAGCAGTAAATATAAATGTAAATAAATAGCTGTAAATGTAAACTTTCAGGAGAAAGATTAATTTAGTGATCATACAGTCATCACAAATATAAGAAATCTGGACACAAATTTCATTAGCAGCTATCAAGATCTTGGTTTTAACACAATGTTGTAAAAATCAACTATACTTCAATTTAAAAAAATTACTGACATGTACACACTATGTATGTATCCACTATATTTAAAGTGGATAACCAACAAAGACCTACTGTATAGCATAGGGAGCTCTGCTCAATGTTACATGGCAGCCTGGATGGGAGGGGAGTTTGGGGGAGAATGGATACATGTATATGCATGGCTGAGTCCCTTTGCTGTCCACCCGAAACTACCACAACAATGTTAATCAGCTATATCCCAATTTAAAATTAAAAGTTAAAAAACCCCCCAAAAACAACAACAAAAAAATTCTAAAGGAAAAAGATGTTAAAATAAAGATCTTACCGAAAACATTACTGGGCTGTGCCGCGAGCCACCAGCTTGGACTGTCATGTGAGGCAAGTGGCAGGAACAGCAGTTGCCAGCTCTGCTGCATGAATCCCCTGGGCAAGCTACTCACCCTCGAGCTTTGACTTCCTCATTTGTAGAGTGGCTGGGTGAGTGCCTGCTCTTCCCTGTCACAGGAATTTTGTCATTTCTCATAATAATACATAGAGAGAGTCAATATATGCTTTGAAACACTGTCAAGTGCTGATGAATGTAAGGCATCATTATCATATTGTTCATCATTAGATCTAGGAATATTTTTTCTGATCAACAGGTATTACATTTTACAAGCTCAGAAAGCATTATGGAAAGTCTAATTTATTTCTGTTCTTAAAAAATTTTGTTTTATTTAAGTGTAGTTTATTTTTAATGTATTAATTTTTGCTGTACTGCAAAGTGATTAGTTATACATATATACACATTTTTCCATATTCTTTTCCATTATGATTTATCACAGGATATTGAATATAATTCCCTTACTATACAGTAGGATTCTGTTGTTTATCCATTCTGTATAAAATAGTTTACATCTGCGGATGCCAAACTCCCAATCCATCCCCCCCCCACCACCCACTGGCAATCATTCTCTATGTCTACCAGTCTATTTCTGTTTCACAGATAAGTTCAGTTTTGTCATATTTTAGATGCATAAATAATATCATATGGTATTTGTCTTTTTGCTTATTTTACTTGGTATGATAATCTCTAGGTCCATCTATGTTGCTGGCAAATGGCATTATTTCATTCCTTTTTATGACTGAGTAATATTTCATTGCATATACGTACCACATCTTATTTACCCATTCTTCTGTAGATGGCCAGTTAGGTTGTTTCCATGTCTTGACTATTGTAAATAGTGCTGCTATGAACACTGAAGTGGTATGTATCCTTTAAAATTAATTTTGTTCATAGCTGACACTTTCTAAATGGTAATTTCTTTCAGATCTCTAGGAAATGAAATACTCTCCTAAATGGTTTTATGTTCTAGATATCCATTTTCTGCTTTTCCCATCTCAACCCATACTTACACTCTTCCCACATTCTCAGTAAACTGGTGTTATGAAACCTTGTATTGCTGTTTGACAAATCCATGCCCATCAGAAATGTAAACAGAGACATTTTTTACAATCACAATAAAAATTAGCTAAAAATAAAAACAATCTATTAAGAATGGTTTTAGATATCTTTCAAGTTTCACTTCTAAACATTTAAAAATTTTGAATTTTAAACATCAGTTTGAATAATTCAAGATTGATGAGCATCCTTAAATTACAAGAAACAGAACAGACTGAATTAGTTTTCTAGTTTGCCTTTCTCCTTGTGTTCCAGAGCCATCCAAGTTAATTCCATGTCCCCATGGTCAGTGAGACTCTGGAGGTTATCTGGTCTAAAATATGGGAGAAGTGTTCTAGAAAGAATCCTCAGAATCTGCTAGAGCAGTGTTCTCCACACTTCTAGGATCATGTATCCTATAAGTAAAAGCTATGTGAGCACATACCTTTATAGGTATTATTTAAAATTTAGAAACTATATACATATCAATCTGTATTAATACATTAGGCATATTATAAAAGATGCCATCTACAAATAGAAAATAGTGAGATGAAATAAAATATTTTAAAAATAAAATTTAACATGATGTTTATTAATGGTACACTGAACATTTTATCCTCAAATTATAGAGATTTGTACTGAGGTCTATGCAGTTGATAAATGCCTTGCAAATTAAACTGGCATCATACTATTATTTGCTAATTTTGAAAAGTACAACATACTTTTAGGGCTAGGCTCATTGTTCTAATAATGATGTCTATCCATATTTCAATTGATGTTTTTGAAAATTTTTATTTTTTCGGCCCATATCTCAGCAGAACTGATTAGATCACCACTAATTTTGTCTCTCAGCGTGACTGAAAAGGAGCTCCTTCAAGAAATAGGGGAAATATCATTCAGTCTTTTTTTTTTTTTAAATAGTCTTGCATTATAAATATTACCTTCAATCTAAAGTTTCTTTTCAGGGAAATGTTTAAAGCTATTGGTCCACTAGTGTTAATTTAGTTAAATTACATGATATAATCTATAACTGTGCTTAACTATCCAAAGAAAACAGCAATAAATTGTGAACCTCAGACAATAACATAAGAGCAAACATGTCATTATTATCCCTCAATACAGTAGAGTGAAGACTGAAATGTCAACTGAGTGAAGGTACCTGTCTTCTAAATATTAGTCAAGTGTAATTTCTTTTTTATTTTTAAAGATAGAAATACATACAATAGATATATTTTCCACCCAGAGTTGTATACACCCCAGTTTAGAGACCATTTACTATATACCTTTGTGTTCATCCATGTCCCTAGTGAGACCTGGGCCAGAATCGGTTACACAGAAGGGGGACAAGAATGTAAACAGACACCCCTGCTGCAACCAAAGAGCTCCAACTTCATTAAATTATTGGGTTGGCCAAAAAGTGTGTTTGGGATTTAAAAAAAAAAAAGGAAAAACCCAAAAGAACTTTTTGGCCAACCTGATGTATTTTTATGCATTAAGCTAAGAAATATTCAGTTGAACAAAGGATTACATAGCTAAGGTATGTCTGAAACTTTCTTCTGGAGAAGTCTAGAAGCCCATGACCCACAGTTCTGACAAATGTTTGAAATGGAACACTTTATTAAAGAGCTAAAGATACCAGTTTTTTAAGTTCCTGAGTTTTATGTTTGTTTTATTTCTCTTACATGCAAAATCACAGCCTTAGATCTAAAAGAGAAAATATTTTTAGCCAAACATGCTATGAAAGTTTTGAATGTAATTAACTGCTAAATAGAGCATTAGTTATAAAATGCAATAAATTTTTTTCTTAACTGAGACATTAAAAAAAGCTAAAAGTTTTGAATATTTTGGAGATAGATCATATTAAAGCAAAGCTTAAAAAGGATATGGTTCTTTCAGTATTTCAGTGAGTTTAATCCTGACTTGTCTAGGGGCTTTGGAAATACCAGCTACTTCATGCATCTTAAGATAATATAAAATCAGTGGACTCTGACCTCCAAAATCGAAGAGAACACGGTTAAACTCTGGACCACTACTGATATAATGGGACTGTAAGGGGTAGGAAAAAAAAGAAGAGTCAATTATTACTTTTGTGTATTTTTAAAGAACTGTAAATTAAATACATCTGCATTATAACTATAAATAGAATTATTATCTGGTATATTAAAACAAAGGGAAATTTTGCAAGGCATTCTTCTTAATGAAAGTGCTTTTGAGCCTATGAGTGTGTGCTGTGAGGCTCTGATAGTCTCTTAGCATGAAGACAGGCCAACAGAGACCATTCTATCTGAAGAACAGAAAGAGAAAAATGAGCATAACCCAGAAACCCCTAGAAAGGGGGATAGGAAAAAATATGAAGAAATAATGACTGAAACCTTCCAAGTTTTATGAAAAACACATCCTAGAAACTTAACTCCAAGTAGGATAAAGTCACATCTAGATGCATCATAGTCAAAAGTGTTAAAAAAGACAAAAAGAAAAATTTCAAAAACAGCAAGAGAAAAATGACTCATAAGAGAATCCCCAAAAGTTAACAGGTGACTTCTCATCAGAACAATGGAGGCCAGCCATTGTTCTGGAATGGATGGAATCAGCCCATCAAAGTACTGATGAAAGAAACTTCGACCATGAATTCTGTGTCAAGGAGACAATCACCATAATTATAATTGCTCCAATATTCTACTATTGACTTCTTGTAGAATACAAGGTAAGTATAGCAACTACTCATATGTTGTCTTTCCTCAGTTTTTGTAATCCCTAGATGAGAGATTTATTGTTGATTCAACTTCCTATGGGGAAAGATTTTTTTCTCATTTGTTGTAACTGATATATAAAATTCTCACATTTCTTTTGCTTATGGTCAATTTTTCACTGTAATCATTCATAGCTGCTACAAAATTATTTCAAATGGTGTGACTATTGTAATCCCACTATTGCCTTGATGACAATTCCTATTAGGTTATATCTAGCCTGATCTCAAAAACTGCGTGCAAAACTGGACTGAGCTCTGTCAAGTTTAAAAGGAGATCTTGCCTGTCTAGAAAGACGTCTTAATGACCCTTTTTCTGAGTTCTGCCTTGGTAATAATAAAACAGAAACTCTATCGTACTGAAGTTTTAGATGTAGACATTTCTGTTATTTTTCTGCAGTTACTAGTTTCTAAACTAGGAAAACCACAGTACACAGATCTGTCCTCCTCTATGAGAATCTATGATTTTTTAAGGATAGTTCAATCAGTCAAGAGCAGAAATAAGCATTAAATGCAAATCCAGTGTTTTGTGCAGCCTTAGCCATTTTCTTGGGTACTTGAAGGTCTCAAGTTGTCTGAAGAACTCTTGCTAAAGATATACCAAGTAGCCAAAATAATTAACAGAAGTCCCACTGCTTCCAATTACCCCCACAAAAGATAATGGCAGAAAACTCTGAGAACTTTAAGATTCCATAAAACAAAACTTTTATAGCCAAAGTCAATTTAGTACTAAATTTGAAGAACCAGGCAATCCAATAAACTTTGGAAGGGTCACAAAGGATGAACTAGGAAGTCCAAGGAATGGTTTCAGCCTTCAGCTTTTCTGTTAGTTTACTAAACGATAATTGCTGACAGTGGATAGAAAACTAAACTTTGATTTTGAGGTTTGAAAGTGTGTACTGTTTATGCTCATATGGTCACTGGGAACCCATAAGCACTCATTCAGCATTTGGATGACACTGGTGCTTAGAAGGACTTCCTTGTAGTTCAGATGGTAAAGAATCTGCCTGCAATGCCAGAGACTCTGGTTTGATTCCTGGGTAGGGAAGAGCCTCTGGAGAAAGGAATAGCAATCCCCTCCAGTATTCTAGCCTGGAGAATCCCATGGACAGAGGAGCCTTGCGGGCTACAGACCACAAAGAGTCACACACTTAGGAAAAAATAAAGTGCTTAGAAAACTTTTCTTTCCATTGAACTGAAACATGTCTCTGTACAGCTTTTACTTATTGGTAAAAGTAAAACTTTTCAGTATGTATTAGTAAAAACTTTTTTAAGCCATATAGAAAAAGCCTAATCCTGCTGCTAATCTAGTCTACCGTAGCTCTCTACATATTCGAAAACAGTTATTATGGGCTCCAGTCTCTCATCTTTTCTAGTGGAAACATCTTTACATGTTTTCGCCATTGCTCAAACATTATGGTTTCAGAGCACTTTATTATCTTGATTATTACACCCTTTTACAATGCAGGGATCCAAAATGAATATAATGCACAATCTTTGTCCAATCAGCACATATGTTTAGACAGCCCATGAATACAGTAGATTTTGGGGTCAATGACATTCTACTTTTGACACATAGAGCTTACTGTTGAAAGTGATTCCCAAATCTTTTCAAATGCCTCCAAGCCAAGGCTTTATTATTCTATACTTAGGAAGTTATAATTTTGGGCCTTTATACTTTTTCCACAGTAACAGTTTATCTTCTAAAATCAGGTGTGTTATTCCAGCCTGTTGCAAACTTTTGGTCATTCATAATTCTTCCAAGTTTTATTACTTCTATATAGCTAATAAAAAATGGCAACCATGTTTTCATCAAAGTTGTCAATAAAATGTGTGTAACACAGGCCAATGATGCAGCAATATGGTATACTGCCAAAGATATAATTGCCATTTGCTTTCTAGCTTTTAGAGTGTCATCTGAAGAAAGGTCATTCGGTCAGTTATAAATCCTTCCATCCATATTTCTCCAACTTGTAAACAAAGTATGAAAGACCATTTTTAGTGCTTGTTGAAGATCAGGTATACAATTTCTATCATACTTTCCTGATTTTGAAATTTACCAACATTGCCCTCCTCCTCTACTCCCATCCATTCCCTGCCCTCCCATCCCCTGCAGCCAAGATGGTGCAATATTGCCATCTACATCAACCTGACTCTCAGAGGTCACCAATTTCTATCCTAAGTGCCGACAAAACATCCTTGGCAGGACTGTGACATTTGGAAGAGATTCTACATACCTGGAGTATTAAAAACCTGGAAATATATGAATATGACTTTCATAAAGTGATTTTTATAGGCATAATTTAAAATTTAAAATAATGGTCAGACTTAACTAGATAATTCAGACAAAATTTTATCAAGAAAGACTGCAACAGATTTAAAACTTAACTGGCCAACAAATTAAGAGATCAAATTCAGAAGTTCAAGCCAACAGTCTCACCAAATTTTAGTTAAACACAAGGTAGCAAGTCCATAGGATCTCTATTTTGGAGGCACCTTTGAAACTGTGGAGAAAGCAAGCATTCAAGACTGAAGAGTAACAATACCTACATGTGGTCATTTATTCTAGGACCATGGTTTAAGAGGTAGGGACAGGTCAATCACTGTTGAAAACTCCTTTGATGTTTTGTCTACAACTTTGACTGATGGTTATTGAGGTCAGAGCCATATTTGTATGTCAGCCCAAGTAGAAGCAGTGCCAGAATTATGTGGAAAAGATAAACATTATTCTTTTTCCTTAGAGATGAGGATAGTTTCAGAAATAAATACAACTTAGCAATATTAAGGTTAGTCTCCCTAATAAATCTCTTCTGATCAGTTTTTCTAAAATATATATCAAGAGTGTAATAATCTACATTGTCCATGTGAAACTGTTGAATTAATTATTGAAAATTTAAAAAGTAAGAACATTGTTTTTTTATGATCATTATACTCCAAACCTTTGTTGGTAGTTTTGATGATCTTGATTCTTCCTTGAATGCAGGCGTTGTATATACTTTTGGGTTCTGTAAAATTTTCATTATATTGAAGTCTATAGCTAAAACAAACAAACAAACAAATTTCTTAAGTTCTGTTCTTTTTTCTTCAGAAAGGAATGACACCATGTCTTTTATTTTTTTTCCAGCAATGTACATTAAACATGGAGAGAGGTAAAGTGTAAGGTTAGGATATTGTTACATAACAGCTTGCTCCAGTCAATCTAGGCTCCCAAGCGGTAAAGAATCTGCCTGCCAAAGCAGGAGCAAGAAATACAGGTTCAGTGCCTGGGTTGGGAAGATCCCTGGAGTTGGGAATGACAATCCACCCCAGTATTCTTGCCTGGAAAATTTCATGGACAGAGGAACCTGGTGGGCTACAGTCCATGGGGTCCCAGAGAGTCAATTGAGCATGCACGCGTGCCTCAGTCAAAGGAAATGAATATTCCATCTCATTTTACTTAAAAGGGATTTAGAGTTTTCAAATTTATTCACTTACACTATTTCATGCTGTCCTCATAAACCATTTTATGAGCTAAGTAAATTTCCCACAATTTACAGATGAGAAAACTGAAATGCAGGAAACTACAACTTTTTCTAAGATTAAGTCTTGCTTAATCTCCCTACCGTTTATTGAGAGTAAGGAGAGGATGTGGACCTAGGTCTTTTGCTTCTGAGTTCAGAGCTCTTTCCATGACCCTCTAGTTAAGTGGAATAGGAGGTTTGGGCCTTGGCATGTTAGAGTCCACCTTTCCCATATACTGACTACACACCCAGATAAGGAAAGACTTGGTAAATTTTTTTTTTTTTTTGGAACCAGCATAAATATGCATGAGGGCATACAGGGATTCTTATCTTAAAGGAGAACTATATCATTTAATCAGTCATGTCAATCAGCCTAAAAGCACAGGCTAGTTACTAAGGGTACCTCAATATAGAACAGAGAAAACAGGAGATCTGAGAAGTTTGTACTGGATCTTGGCACTGAAAATTATTACCAGTTACCAGGTAGACAAATTAGACTACAGATTGTAAGACTGATGGCAAACCTTAGAGGAATTAAAGGAGGTTACTTGGATTGATTATTTATATTATATATTAAAAGATATTTGATATTAGCTTGAAATACGGGAGGTGACTAGGCATTTGTCTCTGGCAGAGATTAAAAAATTGGCTGGCCAAAGAACCTGTATTTTAAGAGTGAAACAAAAGTTAGGTTAAGTTGGGAGTTAGAAGGGGCAAGAGAGGTAACAAACCATATAATTTCTCTACTTTAAAACTTGCTCAAAAACATACAACCCATTATGGAGAGGAATTTGACAATATCTATCAATAACACAGAAGTTTTTTCTTTGCCTCAGTAATCCCTCCTCTAAGAATATATTCTTCATAAACTCCTACACAAGTACAAAAACACACATGTACAAGTTTAATGATTATAGCATGATTTGTAAAATTTAGAGATTATAAAAAACCTATGTATTTAATAGTCAGGTGCAGGTTGAAAAAACCATGGTACTCCTATTTTTTGGAATACTATGAGCTGTAAAAAGAAATGAGCAACATCTCTGTACAGATGTGAAGGTATCTTGAGCTTATATCATTAAGTGAAGAAAGCAATTTGCAGAACAGTATACAGAGTATATTATTTGGCTGAAAGTATACAATATGCTATGTTCAGTTTAAAAGGGATAGAACATCTATTGTACTTGCCTTCATTTGTATAAAGGAACAATGTAAAGATAAATAAGAAATGAATAAAAATATTCTTTTTGGGAGGAATAATTAAAAATAAAATATGCTCAATTTTGAATTATTCTTAAATACATACTTAGGTGATATTACTCAGCAGTGGCCACAGGATTGGGAAAGGTCATTTTTCATTCCAATACCAAAGAAAGGCAATGCCAAAAAATGTTCAAACTACTACACAATTGTACTCATCCCACATGATAGCAAAAAAGTAATGCTCAAAATTCTCCAAGCCAGGCTTCAACAGTATGTGAGCCATGAACTTCCAGATGTTCAAGCTGGTTTTAGAAAAGGCAGAGGAACCAGAGATCAAATTGCCAACATCCACTGGATCATTGAAAAAGCAAGAGAGTTCCAGAAAAACATCTATTTATGCTTTATTGACTATGCCAAAGCCTTTGACTCTGTGGATCACAATAAACTGTGGAAAATTCTTAAAGAGATGGGAATACCAGACCACCTGACCTGCCTCTTGAGAAACCTATATGCAGGTCAGGAAGCAACAGTTAGAACTGGACATGGAACAGACTGGTTCCAAATAGGGAAAGGGGTATGTCAAGGCTGTATATTGTCACTGTGCCTATTTAACTTATATGCAGAGTACATCATGAGAAATGCTGGACTGGATGAAGCACAAGCTTGAATCAATTATGCTGGGAGAAATATCAATAACCTGATATGCAGATCACACCACTCTTATGGCAGAAAGTGAAGAACTAAAGAGCCTCTTGATGGAAGTGAAAGAGGACAGTGAAAAAGTTGGCTTAAAACTCAACATTCAGAAAACTAAGATAATGGCATCCGGTCCCATCACTTCATGGCAAATAGATGGGGAAACAGTGGAAACAGCAACAGACTTTAATTTTGGGGGCTCCAAAATCACTGCAGATGGTGACTACAACCATGAAATTAAAAGACACGTGCTCCTTGGAAGAAAAGTTATGACCAACCTAGACAGCATATTAAAAAGCAGAGTCATTACTTTGCCAACAGAGGTCCATCTAGTCAAGGCTATGGTTTTTCCATTGGTCATGTATGGATGTGAGAGTTGGACTATCAAGAAAGCTGAGCGCCGAAGAATTGATGCTTTTGAACTGTGGTATTGGAGAAGACTCTTGAGAGTCCCTTGGACAGCAAGGAGATCAGTCCTGAATATTCATTGGAAGGACTGATATTGAAGCTGAAACTCTAATACTTTCGCCACCTTATGCGAAGAGCTGACTCATCTGAAAAGACCCTGATGCTGGAAAAGACTGGCAGGAGGAGAAGGGGATGACAGAGGATGAGATGGTTGGATGGCATCACCGACTCAATGGACATGAGTTTGAGTAAACTCCAGGAGTTGGTGATGGACAGGGAGGCCTGCGGTGCTGCAGTCCATGGGGTAACAAAGAGTCGGACACAACAGAGTGACTGAACTGAACTGAACCTATCTTCTAGTTGTTATGAACAGATAGTTTAAACAAAAAGACCTTCATGTTTACCCTATGCACAATAAATGCCAAGACCCTCTGGTGGGCTGGTCAGTGTCTAAGGATGGGTACAGAGGCAGTTCTAGGCTCTTCAGTCTTTAGGTGGACCATCTGCTGAGTGGGGCTATGCCTCTGCCAGTTAGTTGTTTGGCCTGAGGCTTCCCAACTCTGGAGTCTGTAGGCTCTTGGGTGGGGACAGGTCTTAGAGCTAATGAGCCAAGATATCAACTGCCAACGATGCTCCCCAATATGTTTGCACCCAGGGTCTATATAGCCAGAGTGAGACAAAGTCTCTCCCCTTTCCTGCCTCCCCAGGAGACTCTCTAAGCCCAGCAGGGATATTGTGTTTTCCCTTTAAGAGTGACATTTTTATTTTTCCCCAGTCTGGTGGGATTCCTGCAATTAAGCCCCACTAACCTTCAATGACATGAGTTTGAGTGGACTCCGGGAGTTGGTGATGGACAGGGAGGCCTGGCGTGCTGCAATTCATGGGGTCGCAAAGAGTCGGACACTACTGAGCGACTGAACTGAACTGAACTCAACCTTCAAAGCCAAACACTCTGGGGGATTCTCTTCTCAGTACCAGATCCCTAGACTGGGTAGCTTGATGTGGGACAACCTCTAAAATATAATTATTCTCCAGTTTGTGGTTTACCCATCCAGGTGATAGGGGATCTGATTATATGGTAAGTCTACCCTTCCTACCAGTCTCACTATAGTTCCTTCTTTATGTCTTTAGTTATAGAAGACCTTTCTGGTAGGTTCTAGTCTTTTTCACTGATGGCTGGTCTGCAGATAGTTGTGATTTTGGTGTGCTTTTTAGAGGAGGTGAGCTCAGGGTCTTTTTACTGTGCCATTGTGGCTACTTTTGACACAATACTTTTTATTTATTGGGACAATATTTTGCATGTGTTATTCTATAAATATGTTTCTACTTTTCAGACCATGATTCTTGCTTTTATTGGTAAAATATCACAGCTAAACTGATGGTGAATGTTCCACTAGTGGCAGAGCATTTCAAGACCTTAATCATACTCCAAAAATTGCTCTAAAAATACATAAGCCATTTCTGCAGGTACTTCCCAAGACAATTCCAGTCACATTCTGGGAGACTTCTCAAGGTATTTCCCTCTCCTATTCACTAAAAGAGTGGCTCCAACTCCCACCTGACCAGTGGTTTAAAGCACGTGCATGTGAACTTAGTGTGCATGCCTGGATCAGAGTAGTGTATTAGTTAAGCCTTGGAGACAGATGGACACAGATTTAAACATCAGTTCCGCCATTTGAAAACTAAGTGACTTTGGGCAAATAAAATTCTTTAAGCTTTCAGTTCCTTGAAATATAATTTTTAAATGATAATAATGATTAAATTATAGACTTGTTAACTGGATAAAAATGAGATCATATAGGCAAATCACACGTAACTGGCATCATGTAAAGGTTATGTAAATTTTAGACAATATTGTCATTACCATCATTTTTTAAGGAGAATGAATTCAAACTCTCTATTACTTCATACTTAAAAGATTCATTGAGAGAAAATATTGAGGAGTGATTGAGTGTTATCTACTTCCTTAGAAAATCTGAGACATATTCTTGAGCTGAGGTAGACTGACAGAGATATATATTAGAACTGAATTTTCTTGTCCACTTGTAGATCCATTTTTACCAGATTATACTTTGTCTTTATATGCCCTTGGTTAACATAGTGTAATCTTATAGACTCAAATATGGCTGTATTTACATATCAACAACATTCATTACATTACATAGAGCTTCTCTTAGGAGAGGGTGTTAATCAGTTGAGGTGTTCACAAGTATTCACCTTTTCACCCTTC